CTGATACAAAGGACATTTAAGCAAAAAAAAGAGACATTTCAAACATCAGATAAAGTTGTCTATGGAGCAACTTGATTCAGCCCAATGTGCGTCGCTAAAACAAAAATTTTAACAACCAACAACGAGAACAATTACGCTTAACGCATTTACGAAATATTAAAACGTTTTGTAAGCGGAAAATACGACTTCAAATAATGGCTGGAATTATAAAGAGTGCGGCCGCGGGAATTAAAGAGTTCCGCGCTAGGGGTGGGACAACCCCACGGTATTGCAACATGATAATTTCTGCACCTAGACTGTAAATGCGTTGAGTGATATCCACTTGGTAGAAGTCGAATTAAAAAGGAACAAAAAATCTCTTTTTGGCAACCCTAATTAATGGAGACGATTTTTAATTCACTTTTTCATATATTAAATAAACTTCTTTAGGATAGAATATATACACACTTTATTTATGTATTGAGTAGAATTATATTCTATCTATAAAATCTATTAAAAATTAGAAAAACACTGGACACCAAATTTAACAAAATTTCGCATATAGGTACTTATGTAAAAAATAATGTTAATTGACGTAAAATATCATGCTTTAGAGATTCATAAAATGAGAAAATAAAGAATAAGGAAGAGCTGAACAAAACAAAATAAGAAAACAAAACATTTTCATCCTGATAGCGGTCGGAACCTCTAGGACATACAATCAACCTATTTCACAATTAAACAGCATCATGGAAATTAAAAGCTTTATTCCGTCCTCGTTGGGGACGTATCTCATTATGTGCGATGAAATAAATTGGAGGCGGATTATTTGTCAAACACTCTGGACCCGCGCCGGAGCCGCTTCCATTCAATTTGGCCCAAATTTAATTGCAATCGAAACGGTTGAGTGACGTGGAACCGAACGTCGAGATTATGCCTTATGACGTTGACACTCACTCCATCTATGATTTGATTAGAGAAATGACTCTTGTTTTGTTGGGATAATTTTTTTTACTGATACATCTACTTTACAGTATATATTTATTAAAAGAGAAATAAGTCATTAAATGAATACCGCAGCCACTTGTTTTTTCGGGCTTTTGGTTTTTCGTTCATTACGCGGATTTTTTCACAAAAATGTAAAGTTTTTCCTGCGACCATAAGAGCTTTGAAAGTCGACCGCCAGATTCTTTAGATTTTAATGAACATTGAGAATGTCATTAACAACCCTTTAGATCACAATCTTTGTCAATATGTTTTCCCTTACATTTTAAAAAGGTTATTTTTGGATAAATGACGAAAGAATTGGCCTTCTTCGAATTGAGCAACTGCTTAAGCAGCCGCTGCTATCACTCTTTATTGACCTAATCTAAGTAGTCAGATATTATATTTTTTGGTAGAATAACACATACGACATTCAAAACTAATTAGTGAGACAGCGAAACATATATTCTACGTGTCCATAACACACAGAAAACTGCTGAAATGTACACTGAAGTTATCAAACTAAATTCTCCTTTATTTATTCTAGCAATGCACTACTTACAGTATCTACTTAAATTATAAATGCTTATTCAAATATTTTCTTTCTAGGTACGAGATCATATACGATGTGCATTTGTAAGAGAATGCTAGATGGATTAGATAGAAAAAATTCAAGGTAACTTTTCAACTATCACAGTGTATTTTTAGTTTGAAGTTAAAGTATCGAATTTGAATTCCGTCTGTCTGTCTGCAAGTCCGCATTTGTTCCGGGTAATCTCCGTAAAGTCTGGGCTGATTTTGATGGGACTTGGTCAGGAATCTGACTAGTGTGTGCGTAATATGTAGGCTCCTCTTCTTTATTAATTCCGCGCAGACGCAACCACAGGTGACCACTAGTATTTTATAACATTTGTTAGCATCAAGTCGTACCTTAGTAAAAATTTACATTTATGTTTGCACAATATTTTACTGTATAATGCCACAGTACATAATTTTTAAATACTCACTTAAACTTTTCTTATTTACAGCTCAAGTTCGACCATTAAAGTCACCCAAGTTGTTGGCGCAACTCAAAATATGAGTAAGTACCCGGACGCGGTGGTTAATACTGAAAAATTTCCACTGAAATAAATATTAATTTTGCTACAGAGAAATGAGTCTAGTAACTTTTGTGTAAGAATTAAATTTGCATGTAAATAAAAGAGTTGTGTTACAATGTTAGGTCGCGGGAGTTACTGGTAGCAGGTGGTGTGAAGTATAGCCCCAGTCAATAATATTTTTATATTACTACCAACATTTACTTATTGTCCTACTTCCCAGTAGTATAGACTACTGGAAGTACCCTGCTAACAAGGGAGCTTACGCCTTTGTCTTGGAATCTATGGTTACCAAGTAAATGAAAAGACGACTTATAAACGAGTGTTTATTACTAACGTAACTTGTGAAATTTCAACGCATTCTTAAATGACTACTTAAAACAATTTAAAACATACATGTAGTTAATTTTAAAAGCTGTTATTCTGTGTTGATAAAACGTTAAACAACATTTTAAATAGCTAACGATTACGAACACAATGGAAGCCGTGTAACAAACACGGAGATCTCATTATTTTTTCGCACGCGAAACGAGTAACGAAAAATGTAAAGAAGTAATGTGTTTGGGTAGAATAAATAACCGTTGTTATTCGTACGTAAGGGGAAAATAACAATGTAGCATTTATCTCGGTGGAAAAATACGACAAATTACCGGCCTAATTCGTTCCATTAGACGGTAATGTGGCCTAATAAAACATTCTGTTTGTCCGGCATCAAACACAATGGTGGGCGTCGAAGGCTGGGAGGCAACAATTTAGCGTCACTTAGTCTCCATTGCCCGCTCCCCTGGTTATGGAGAAAATTCCAGATGAAAACCGAGACGATTGCACGTTTCCTATTGTTCAACTTACTGACGAATCGTAGTTTGTTTTAGAGCGCGCGCACACCTTTTACTAATCTATCACACAACTGTTTAGTCGCGCTTTGATTCTTTGCATTTTTTGCAGTTGTATGGACTGCAAAACAATCGACAATCGCACAATGGATAGTTTAGTCAAAAGTGTGCGCCCGCTCTTAGTTTCGAAGGCGTTATGGAATATCGAGATATTAGCACCTCGATTTTCCATAAACTGCCTTAATATAAAAATATCTTCGCAAAACTACACATTTTATTTTGGGAAACGCAAATACCAGCCTATACATTGTTGAATTGAGGTACAGCCAATTATTGAAACGAATCTTAAACACATCGCTTCGTTAGCGACTTTGACAGACGTCAAAATAAATAAAATCATTATAATTTTTTAACTCCTAGCACGACTAAGTATGAGTAGACGCCCTAGCTAAAGACTTATTTGACCAATTGAAACATTAATATTTGTGTGATCACTGAGTTCACATGACAAAAACAATTTGTTTATAGTTTTTACATCCGTATTCCTCGCAACAAACCTTTCATTTCCATCCCGTTTATGAGTTTCTCCGGCTGTCAAAGGCGAACATATTGCACTCTCGAGCTCGTATTTGAGGAACAAGAGTGTAATTCCCGCAGGTTTTGTCTTGCGGCAACACTCGCAGAATGGAAAGACGTCCGCATTCAAAGCGCTCTGTCTGCATTTTTAAAATATCCGCGTACACACTGTACCGAATTGTAAAGAATAAAGTTATACCGTTTGACCGACGGAACGGAATTTCATTGCTTTCTATTGTAACTTCTTGTCTTACTTCTTACTAGTATTATGAATGCGAAAGTTTAGATGGATGGATGTTTGTTAGAGTTTGTAGCCTAAACGACTGAACGGATCTCGGTGAAATTTGGCATAGACTTAGAGGAAACTCTGGAATAACACATAGGCTACTCTATACCCACTTGCATTTTTCAATTCCACGGGGTCGAAGTTGCGCGCGTAAGCTAGTGTTTTATATATTTAACATGAAATATTTAATACTGTTTTACCGACAGAAGTCAGATTGTAGTTTTTTTATTTTTTTTTATTTGATAACAATCCGAATACTACGAGAACGTAAAGAGGTGCCTGTATTCAGATCACGTTGTCCTCCTTACACTGATTCCGCTGCGAGCGTGCGTTAAAGCTAACGGTTTAACGGTTAAGTTTAACTTTACCTCAGAGACTGTATTAATGTGAAGGAAAGTCGATATTTCATACAGTTTTGTGTATAAGTGAATATTCATTCAATTTCTATGAGATGAAGAGTTAATAACTACAAGAGGAGACAATAAGGTTACCTCACTCACAGATACATTATACTTTGTTATCATGTCATATTCTTTTTAAATATCATATCAACCTTGTCTTGAACCAGCGTACGTTCCTAGTCTCCCGTTGTGTAGTCAAGAACAGAGTACAAAGTCGCATTGCTCGACATTGCAATGCTTTGAGGGGACGAGACACTGCGATTCATTCTCGCATTTAAAAGGAAGACTGTAATTTTACAGCGCTTTGTCTAGACACCGCGCGGGACGACGGCTCGCAGCGAAATATGCGCATTCAGAAAGCCCTTTTTTATTTTTTTTAAATGCTACGATTAAACTGCGACTGCAGAATGCATGCGTGAATAGACGATAAAACCACAATGTGAAGAGTAGTGGATACGAAGTGACATTGTAGAGGTGATGATGCGAGCAATTCATAACTGTACATCAAATTCTAGAAGCTTCTAAATTCTTCTAATTAGAATACTTGCTACCTAGTTGATAGGATCCTTATCTAGTAACTGTTTGACGTAAACGGATAGAAAAGGACAAAAAGCGCATTACTTAGAAAATTACAAATATTTCAGTGTCATAATTTTCGAACTAATAGTACAGGGTAGCATAAAAAGTACACAGTATCGTACTTTAATTGTGGTCGTAGATTATTTCGTTGCGAATCATTGGTTTTTATAGTTCGCAGTATTGTAACAAACGGGCGGTTTTTATTTCGTAGCGCAAATTGTTTAAATACCGTATGGCCTTATTCGTGCGGCACTGGGTCAGTGCACTACTGTAAAGTTCACAGTATTGATTTTATTGCGCACGCCCAAAAATATAAATGCTATCCATACAGCGCCGTGATGCTTCGTTTTAGGCACGCGTCAGAAATTTTACGCGACTAAATAAAATTACGCAACGCAACTACGTTAATTCAATTCGCATTTGGTACGTTTTATGTGTGGCCTGCACTTAACAATAAAGTAGACGAGTAAAAATTATATAAAGACAACTGTGCCTTAACAGATATTGTTAATTAATTGGGAAATGCAGCCTACCGAAGCTTACAGCCGAATATTGTAACTGATGTTTATAGAATATCTTGACAAACGGTACTTACTCGTACCATCCGATAGACTTTAAAATTTCAGTTACATTTGCAGCGTTGCCTTATCATTTAAGATTCCACATATTTAAATGTCGTCTCATTATTAGTTAGAAGCGTTGAAGGAATGAATATAAGATGCTTTATTAGACCTATCATAATTTAAAAATGACTGGTAATGATTGTGTGGGTCATCCTAAACCAGTGTTTCTCAAAGTTGGCGATAACGCCCACTCGGGGGTATTTGAATCCTAAAGAGGGGCGTTATAGGGCCACAGAAAAAATTGGGGGCGTTGATATGGGTTAGGTGGGACGATGCATAATTTGTAATTTCATTTGTTTTATATAGTATTTTAAATTTCATTAAAATTGTATAAAAATGGGGGCGCTGAAAGATCATTGATTTTCAAAGTGGGCGGTAAAAGAAATAAGTTTGATATGCACTGTCCTAAACCATATATTAGACATTATGGTATAAATTACAGTACTATAAATAAATATTTGCACAAAAACTTCATTTCAAGTAACTTACAATTGTGACATATTTTCTAAAGTACTTCTTTCTTTCTAGGTCTTATCACACAGAAGTCCAAGCGGAAAGGAATCGCTTTGAAAAACATTCCAATAGAAAAGTCGTTCCAGTTAAACGGAGGGTAAGTTGAGCATTACTCACTGTTCACTGCTTCTAGCGTTAAAGTTTTCCTAACTTCAAATAAACGTATTTTTAACTGCAACTAAATAAGAAGCTATAGAAAATAAGTACCGACAAAAAGTATAAAATATAAAAAACTTTCGTATCTCGCTTTCCCTATAAAGAGTGTTAGATGTCATGTAAAACCTAGTCATTTTAGTTAGTGTCTATTATGAAACCTTGGCAATTACACGGCGCCACCATTTTCAAAGAAAACCACTTGCTATTTATTTCATTTCTATCTTCACACGTATAATAATAACGTATAAATAATAACGTATTTGAAAATCAATAGCACCACGTAGTTGCCAAGGCTATGCCTTTAAATTATGAATAAACACGCATTTGTGTAAAAAAAAGTGAAGATTTCAACTAGCTGTAATTTGTAAACTACTAGGTGTAATTAAAAGATATTTTGGCTATATAATTAACTCCGATATATCTGTTAATGTTCAAAATTTCAAGCTCCATCTATATCTACTGCGAAGTTACAGGGGGGTCAAAGTGCCTAGGAGCGCTTCGAGAAAATAGTGTTTGGCTGGGTTCGTCTCGGCGGGTGCACTGCCGCGCACCCAGAACAGATACCTATGTATTTTGATGCAATTGACCAATATTTAAAAATTTTTCGTAAACTTAAGATAGTATTATGTTGCTTAACTCAGGCAGCATATGTACAGTTATCTGAATAAATATGTACACTTTTACATAACTTCAGATGTTTGTATACGCCTTTGTTTTCAATATGTATGCATGTATCTGAATACGTGCATGTATTTTTAAAACCGAAGTCCTTTACAAGTTTCTAAAGAATTGTAAATGTATACACATTTATGCAGCTGACTGTACTTTATAATGTTTGGTAAAGAATCTGCTAGTCCTTTAATTGGCTAGTTGTGATTATTTTCTAGAATATTAGTAGATTCATGTTAACTTACTAGTATTTCCTTTAACCATCCCAATTAAACAAGGCTTGTTGGTAAGATATGATTTACGGTAATAGTCGAATGGCGGGATTCGAACTCTCGACCGCAAGATCGGTAGACCGTACACCAAACCAACAGGCTATTCGCGCTTACATTATTACATTTTTTCTTCAAAATACACGTAATGTTCTGTTTTGTCTCATACACTTAAGAATATTTAGACAGCGCAATAAGTTGAATGGAGTTTGTATGATCGTAGGTCACAATATGCGGTATAAGGGGCGCAGACGACCCCGTTACGTAATTACTTTAGACTCGACGCCGGCGGGGCGACGACCCCGACTCGACTTTGACCCACTTCTTAGTTTAATTTCGCCTCTCACCCTGTAGACGTTACGCTACTGCCTGAAAGGCACCTGTTGTGTACCGTCATTACATTTTGTAGAACTATTCTAAACTTTAGATTTAAATAACGTCAAAAGTATCTTGTAACAACTTTTACTACTACACATAATACCACAGTAAACGTGTGTGTGTTTTTTTTTCATTCTCTTACTAAAACTACACTTATCACTTATTCCCTGAATACAGCAGTAATAATGTTAATGTATTTTTTCGGATCCTATGGAACTCTTTTGGAATTCGTGTCCGTTAAGATATGTAGTCTTTTAAATACATGAACATTTTTATTTTCAACTAGCTGTTCCCGTGCGACTTCATCCGCATAAAATTATAAAAATCTTATTTTATTGTTTACATGTGTCAAATTATCAATTGCAAATGTCAGAATGACATGATGATGACAAACCATGGCAACCTTGCTTTCTTGATGTTGGTAGTAACTTATGGTCTCTTTCCCACAGTAGGGTCTTTATTCTAAATATTTACGCCCTAAGTTTAATGGCGTGAAAATGTATAGCCTAAAGCGTGACATAAGTGTTGGGCTATTTATTAAAAAAAGATTTATTCAAAAATATGCTGTAATTGCTGACATTTTAGGCAACAAAGAAGTGTGTTTACGCTTTATTATAATAGTATAAAACGATCTCCAATTTATAGTCATTAAAACAGAACAGCGTACAGACGTGCCATTAAAACACCGAGTCTTTCCTTTGCTCGCTTCTGTTGATTTATTCAACCCTTTGCGCACGTTTCAAATCATAGGTAATGGAAGAAAAACATTAGAAGTACCACATGTGTACATACTTTTAGTGCAGCTCAAAGAAGGGGAAATATAAATATTTCAACAAACCGCCTTTTAATGTTCATACGATGTTAAACACGTTTATTTCTAATGTATGGAGGGAAATAAAAGATAAACGATACGACATTCCATATAAAGAACCCTAGGATACATGTGTGTCTACGACCTATTTATTTAAAACTGATACAATTAACCACTCGTTAGAGTTTTCGGTAACTTCATGTAATGCATTTTTGAATAACGTAAGTAGAGTTTTACTCTGTTGAAACTTATAATCTTACTAACATCAATAAATCACTAGATACTATAAAAAATGAATTATCAAAATCGGTCCACTAGCGGCGGAGTTATGCCGTAACACACATAAAAAAAAAATTAAAAAAAACATACAGACGAATTGAGTACCTCCTTCTTTTGGGAAGTCGGTCAAAAATAAATGGAGATTTCAGCAACCCAGCATTAATAACTTAATTTAAAACTACTGTGTTATAGCAAAATAAGAGAAATCCAAATCAAACAATGGATTTCTTAACCGTGTTCTAAGTTAATTCATTTTTTTATTTATAAACTAGTGCTTGACCACATCTGATGTTAAATGGTGATGTCGACGTATGGTATGTGCTGGCTGAATAACTACACATTTATCCTTCTAAATGTAAGAAGATAATTAGAAATAAAATAACACCATTGTCAGTTCGAAGGTGTATTCTGTGACGTCATTTTCTCGTCGACTCAAAATAAGATAAAAGCCGAGCCCCGCTCCGTCGCCGTATCTACATCTCAAACTTCCCGATGTTTAAGTGTTCCTACGCCGAACTTTTCGCATTAACAAACAGCTTACGTCTGTAATTTCACTTAAGCTGAGACTTTGTTTTATTTACTAAACATTTTCGCTCATTCAACTAATTTGTTGCTATCAAATCGGCTTGTTTTTGTCTGAAAGACTGGTAATGGTTTTTTATTTACGTTTTGGTAATACGTTGGTATTCTACCTAGACTCTACTAGCTGTTCCCGTGAGGCTTCATGCGCATGAAATTATAAAAACTTTATTTCATTGTTTACATTTGTCAAATTCTCAATAGCAAATATCAAAATACTAATTACCTTACTATGGCAACCTTGCTTCTTAATTTTTTGCAATTTGTATTGTATGGTCTCTTTCTCACATTAGGTTTTTTATCCAAAACGTTTACCCCCTAAATATATAGCCTAAAACATGACGTAAGTGTAGGGCTTTTTATTACAAAAAGAATTATTCAAAAATATGCTGTAATCGCTGTCATCTTAGGGAACAAAGAAATGTGTGTTTACGCTTTATTGTAATAGTATAGATAGCCGTACTTTATCCATATATACTTGTGTTTGACTCACGGTAATTATTTTGTATGTTAGTCTTAGAATATTTTAATTTTTACGTAAATGTTTAACGGGTTTATCTTTTTCTCGGTATGCCCTAGGGTTAAAGCATGTTGTATTTTATATTTCTTGCTTACTTTCTCTTTACCAAACCAGATATTACGCTTTCTAAAAAATTGTACTTAAGTCCGATAATGTTGTACTTAAATTACACTGCAAATGTAATAAAAAGTTTCCATACAGCAATAGCGCTACGATTTATTCTATTTTTAAATCAAGGCTTTTTATTATTCATCGCAAAAGGTATACTTCAAGTGGACCGCTGTAAAGAAGTTTGAAGAATGCGCCATTATAAAAACTGAAGCGTGGTTCGCGCGAGTATAGCGCCCTCTATTGAAAATTCTGAACTATATGAAATGTTTTACAAACTTTTCTAGATAGTATAGCCATGCTTATAAAAGCTGAACTTTTAATAAGTTAAATAACGTTACTAAGGCTTGTGAAGATAGTTGATAAAGTATGCGGCTATCGAGTCTGTTGCATAAGTTGGATGTTGCAGCCGAATGTACATCGCTTTAACAATGGATACTTTATCAACAGACCACATAAAGGCAAGCTCCAGTCTGCATATATCTTTTTAAAGGAAATTCTTTTTAAACTAATTGATAACAAGGCTTTCAACTATAGAAAAGTTATGAACTTTAGATTGGGGCCCTGCTTCTAAGAGTTCTGTTATTTTATGTTTTCTAAAAGAATGTTTTGCTTTTGTAAGTTTGTTTATAGCTCTACGACTTACTAAAGGACTGAAAGATTTACTGTAAAAACTTAGGGAGTCTTTCAAATACATTTTAGAATAACTATGTTACCTCAACCCTTGTTTAGGCATGGCTCATACTTTCAATGCTGAAAAATTTAATAAACACATCATCCGTAATGTCAATCAACGATATAAGTTATAACACGAGTTTAACAAAACACAGTCTAATTAAATTTTTTGATACAGAAGACATATTTTTTGTGAACAATTTTAAAAATGAAGTAAGTTTCATCAGTGAAGGTTTTAAATGTAAAACGTTCGAGATAAATAAAACAACTTTGTTATTCATACCCCTGAGGGGTGTAATTGTTAGGCCTTTTCCCCGAGTACCTACAGCTATTAAATTTGTTGAACATCAAAACAAATGCTTTTAAATTACATCTCTTTATTTTAACACGAAACATTTTTACCTCGATTAAGGTGAGTTTTCATCGACACAAAGAAACAAACTAAACAAGTCATTTTGTTACTTAAACCATTGTTATTATTAATTATTTACGGCTTACTCACGTATGCTTTTGTTTTTCCGGTGACGGCACCGACCAGTTTCAGACCCTGCGGGGGTCCTTCTTCAGGGCGAGAGTTAAGTATGTGTCGCGTTCGCGTCGCGCCTCGCACTGCGGGCCAGCGCTCGAAGGGCGCGGCTTGAGGGGGCGGGGGGCACCGGGGGTGCAGTTGCCATTGCGTGCGCCGGCGGCGACGATGTCGACGAGCTCGATATTGATGAGTCATTGTTGATGTTGTTGACATTAAACGGGGCGCAAAACGTACTGACTATGTCAGCTACGTATTCAACACCATCGTCGTCGTTCTTCTGCTTCGGTCTCAGCAATAAGGGTTCCCACGTAGGAGACAGAGACCAACCCTTGTCTCTGTTGAAATTAGGTCGACGGTTGATTTCAATGGCTTCAAGAAGCTTACGTGACACAAAGTTCTTGTCGCGAGCCAAGACTTTCACACGGTCAAACCTAATGTAGTGAGGTGCTCCAGTGGTAAGGGCGTGCTCTGCAATCGCCGACGTGTTGCTGTCCAGTTTGCGCATGCAACGGATATGCTCGGAGAGCCTGGTGTTAATATTGCGCCCCGTTTCACCAATGTAGCTTTTACCGCATTCGCACGGAACTTCGTAGACGCCCGGACAGTCTAGGGGAGTGCGGTCTTTCGGCGAACGTAACACTCTCCTTATCTGCGTAAGGGGGCGGAATATTGTCCTGATACTGTACTTGCGTCGTAACAGGTGTCCAACTTTGTCCGTCACCCCTCGCATATACGGTAAATATGCCGGTACTCGCTCCACAATCTGCGGTCGTGTCTTACAAGTTGTGTTTGCTATCCTATAACTTTGTCTCCATTTGTAGCCATTGCATTCTAACACTTTCCGTACGTGTGTCAATTCAGTCTCTAGGAATTGAGGATCGCATAGGCGAAGTGCACGATTAATGAGAGTGCGTGCGAGACGCAAGTACAGTATCAGGACAATATTCCGCCCCCTTACGCAGATAAGGAGAGTGTTACGTTCGCCGAAAGACCGCACTCCCCTAGACTGTCCGGGCGTCTACGAAGTTCCGTGCGAATGCGGTAAAAGCTACATTGGTGAAACGGGGCGCAATATTAACACCAGGCTCTCCGAGCATATCCGTTGCATGCGCAAACTGGACAGCAACACGTCGGCGATTGCAGAGCACGCCCTTACCACTGGAGCACCTCACTACATTAGGTTTGACCGTGTGAAAGTCTTGGCTCGCGACAAGAACTTTGTGTCACGTAAGCTTCTTGAAGCCATTGAAATCAACCGTCGACCTAATTTCAACAGAGACAAGGGTTGGTCTCTGTCTCCTACGTGGGAACCCTTATTGCTGAGACCGAAGCAGAAGAACGACGACGATGGTGTTGAATACGTAGCTGACATAGTCAGTACGTTTTGCGCCCCGTTTAATGTCAACAACATCAACAATGACTCATCAATATCGAGCTCGTCGACATCGTCGCCGCCGGCGCACGCAATGGCAACTGCACCCCCGGTGCCCCCCGCCCCCTCAAGCCGCGCCCTTCGAGCGCTGGCCCGCAGTGCGAGGCGCGACGCGAACGCGACACATACTTAACTCTCGCCCTGAAGAAGGACCCCCGCAGGGTCTGAAACTGGTCGGTGCCGTCACCGGAAAAACAAAAGCATACGTGAGTAAGCCGTAAATAATTAATTATAAAATGTCTCACGAAAGTTTAAATAATTTAATAAACCATTGTTTTTTACTTAAAAGCAAGAATAATATTTTATACAACTTATTGTATGTGGCAAACGAGTAAGCGGCCACCTAAATCCGCTAAAATGGCGAAGTGACCACTGCCCATAGACATCTGCAATTGCAGATGCGTTGCCTAACCTAAATCGACGAAGGAGAAGACGCACATAAAGAGGATTCCTCCTCCTATGCGTCTTCTCCACCATCAGATCCACTTACCCATCCAATTCTTTCCTTACAAGAAAAGGATGGAATGGGAAAGTGACACACTCATCAGACGGAATTGCTCCCACTTCACGCCTGTCTTCTGTGTGGTCGGAGTTTAAGCTTTATTTGTATTGAAATAAGATATAATAAATATTAACTAATGGTGTATTGAGCTTAATTTTATTCATCTTTCCAATTCTATGTATACCATAACTAAATCTTTTCCCATTTTGTCTATAGGTGAAATGTTCTTGTCACTTCATCTGTCAAATTCCATCATTGGTAGCGCACCTTTAGGTAGATCTAAGCGGGTATTATTGTCGCTTCGAATAAAACGTAATTTTGTTCGACAGGTCGTACGACTGCTTTCTGTTCCGAGCCGATGCTTCCGATTGTGCCGCTCAAAGTGACAAAGGTATGTATACTTCAATACTCTCTGTACAATATCGCTTTGACTCCGACATCGTTATATTTAATGATGTTATTAAACACATTCATGTGATACTAACACCCCAGCTACGACAGGGTAGCAAAGAAAGTACATCTCAACTTTCCTGTCATATCCATACCCTTCCTGTTGATGAAAAGTAATAAAAAAGAAACTCTGTGTTAATGTAGTTTTCAAATGGCGAAATAATTTTTGCAATCCGTCCAGTACATTCGAATCCCATTCAATGCAAATAACCAATCAAATCTTTTCTCTTTATTAGTGTAGATAAGAATGTACCTAACTATATTTTAATAATTGTTAATTATATAAACATTAAAAAATTACTAAAAGTCTGCAAGTCAATACATTTAAAGTACTGACCGTTTTTATTAGTGACAAAATGTATAGAAAAATATTCTCATCGAAATCTTTCTCTTGAAAAAATAAATATAAAACGACAGTGGAAACGTACCCTTAGTCATCATTCTTAACTTCAGATTATTTTTATTACTAGCTTCGGTACTTTAATTAAAACGAAATAAAAACCGTTAATAAATATTCTGCAACGCAAACCCTCCACATAAAGAGCAATAAACGTTCCATTTAAAAAGGTTCTCGCGTAAAAGCGTTAAAAATATGAACCGTTAAAAACTGCAAACAGCCCAACAAGTCTGCACTCTGAAAAATATCTTAGAGTTCATAACGGAAGGGATAATAAATATAATGGTTAGTTATTCTGTACAGGAAAGGCGCGCTTAAGAAACGGCAGACATCATACCAATGTTATAAATACGAAAGTTTAGATAGATGAATGGATGTTTGTTAGAGTTTGTAGCCTAAACGGCTGAACGGGTTTTGATGACATTTGGTATTTCATAGATAACAGTCTGGAAGAACACAGAGGCACTATTTTTTTATAAAAAAACCACGATAAAGTCGCCAAAAAAATCCATCCATTTCTTAAGTCTATCTCTACCGGTGTACCCTTCCACACTCATAACTAAAGTTCTCCTTGTAACATACATTTCATCCCTCATAACATGTCCATACCATGCTAACCTTTTACTCCTTACCTTCACTACCACTGGGGCTACTCTCAAACTTCCTCTAATATACCTATAATAATATAATACAACAGCTATAAAAGTAATAAAAGAGGATGTACTCAGAAAAATTCAATTCGGGGTTATTACGATCATCCGGAGCGGAATAATACACAGGCGGGGCATTACGACCTTTTGTTAAAAGAACACATGTCCGTAGTAGCACCTTCGTATATTAATATTATATTTATTTCTACATACGATATTAGTATATCGCGCAAATGGTCTAAATGGGCTTCTAGCTCACGGAGGAACAAATATATTGCGATTTGCTCCTTCATTTTCTCACAAGGTATTTTATTGCTTTGGGTTCGCTCATAAATTCCGTACTCACTCAGAGAGAAAAATAAAGCCTCCGTTCTGGTAGCGAATTGTTGCGAGAAATTTCTTATTAGTCTTCCTTAGCTCAAACTTGTGTGCGCGTTTTGGTTTTATATTTTACAAACCTAAGCTATAAGTAATAAACAATTCTTAAGATAGATGATAGGAATGCAGTTTGAAATATAAAACACATGTAACAATTATATCTCGTTTCTAATATTTCTAATATAAAAGAATCTTTACAGCGTATGCACATTTTTGACTAAACTACACACAACTGTTGTAATATTGTCTATTTTTTCGCAGCCAATTCAACTGTATATAGTGTGTCTAAATAACTTAGATTAGATTGACAATTCACTTCAAATTTAGTAGGGATGGGTTGTGTAAAGTCATGAATCTTATCGATTTTCGATTTTTAGTCTCGTAGAAGTTGGAATCGATAGATTCGTAGTTAAACCTTATGAATTGAAAAAAAAACACTGTTTTCTCAAATTAATAGTGACCTGCAGAACCATTACAAATAATGAGTGCAAATAAATGTTTATTACTACTACAGCCGTACATAATCGAATTGGATTTCGCTATTGTTTCTGTCATCGCTAAATTTTCTACACTGTAATCAATACTAGAATTGTCCTATAAATTAGTTAATAAGAAAATAATAATTTTCGATAAATATTCAAACCGAATATCGAGAGTTCATAATTGTTCGCTATGCGTGTTTGTTCGTCACTACGCTACCTGTCTATTAAGTACGGCATTTGCCTTCATACAAATTGAATTCGATACTTCATATGCGCTCTTAAGCATGTTTCACTAACTGGTATGTTCACTATTGTATATTAGACCTTTAACGCCGAGTAAAGCAAATAAACTCAATAACAAATGACCTATATCATGTAAAGTATTCTATACTGCTGTAGTAACTAACCTCGGTAATTGAACTGTGAATAGTTGACTTCGATACATTCTTTGTTCTCACAACGAACCCTATCTGGCTCTTAAAGTTCGAAACAGGGGCAATCAATTGGCCGCAGATCTTTGATACGGCAGTCCGCTTCCAGTGGAACTTTCCACAGCGGTCCGGAATTTCTAATTAAAGCCGCAGACTGTCCGGACTTCACAGATACTAATGGAAGTGGTGAGCTTAATCAAAACCTTCGGAAGAGGTTGAAAAAAGCCAGAATCTTCCAGTTTCAAGTTACGGACGACTCATTATCAAAGTTATGTATTCAAGAAGCGTTACAACGACATTCTACTTCTTTGTTTTTTTTTGTAAACTCTTGTTAACTTATGCGTTGTTAGCGTCAGTTTGTGTACAATTGATAATTCAACAACCGAAAGTAACGTTAATAATAAAATCTTATTTTTTTATTTCCAACTAGCTGTTCCCGTGCGTCTTCATCCGCATGAAATTATGAAAATTTTATTTTATTGTTTACATTTGTCGAATTGTCAATTGCAAATGTCAAAACGACATGACATGATGACAACCTTGCTTCCTTGATGTTGGCTGCAACTTATGGTCTCTTTCCCACATTAGAGTTTTTGTCTTATTTTAATAGTATAGATGTTTTTACTGATAATGCCAAGCTTCTAAGACGCCGTTTAAAGAATCATTTTTTTTTATTTAAAACCATTATTATAGTCTCATAAAGAGTTAATTTAATAATTTTGATACAATTAAGTTTATAATAATGACTTGTTACACAGAATCTTAAGTTGGTAGGGTCGTGCAATTTCATTTATAAATCATGGGTCCCTTTCTCCTCAGCCCGCTTTACACTGAACTTTCTATAATTGAAAGACATTAATTATATTGATTGAAAATCAATGAAATAATTTGGAAAGCCCTTAATTAAAAGTAGCCTTAAATTTATAATTGTATAACGAGTGTAGAAAGTATGCTGTGATTTTTGGACTCGTTAGCGTTTTATAGCGTCATGTTGCAGATGTGACGTCATAAAACCAAGACCTCATGTTTTTTCCTTACGTTGTATTACTGTTAACTGTCAATAAGTTCCTAGAATTTCCTATTTGGATATAGTTTCGTTTACAACCAAGCTTATAGATACTCTTTGCTTCTTTTTTAATACATCTGCAACAACTATAAAACACGAACTAGAGGGTAAAGCGATATAAAAAAGTCATTCGAGCAAAACTCGCAATAAAAGCATCCTTTGAACGATCATATTAAATTTATTGAAGCCGCTTTTACGAACAATAAATCTAGCGTAACAAAACATATTAACATAGAACTTGGCACAATATTGTTTCAATTATATTCATGGTAATACGCAATAAATTAACATCCATAATTAAATATATTTTTGATGAGCTATTGTCTATTTTAACATTAAAATATTGGGTTGTTGGGAAAGTAATTTTGTTTTTTCCCGTCAGAGGACTTAATTATGTTTTTTCGAAACCAACTTCACACTCAAGCCGCACAACCATTATATGTCTTGAGAGCTGATATTGCAAGGCTTGTGTGTGAAAAAGTTCTATTAATTCTACACAGTAGTTTTTAGTTGGTGCCATTTTAAATATGGAGAGTAATAAGCAGCTATTTCGTCATATTTTACTTTTTTACTTCAGAAAAGGTAAACATGCTGTCTAAGCGAGAAAAAAATTGACGGATCTGTATGGAGAGGGCGTGTTAACAGTACACAAGTGCCAGAACTGGTTTGCAAAATTTAGATCCGGCAATTTTAATATCGAAGATGCACCACGGTCTGGAAGGCCGGTCGAAGCTGACTAAGATGCGTTAAAGCATTAGTTGATGCAAATCGGCGAATAACCACACGAGAGATCGGTGAGAGATTAAATTTGTCGAATTCGACTGTTCATCGCCATGTCTTTATAGTATGTTTATAAACTGTCTTTCATGTTCCCCAAAAAAAACGAAATGACTTTCCGAACAACCTATTAATTATGAGTTTAACCACACTCTCTTAGATCAATCCCGCATGAATTGGAAAATATAAGATTTTTAATTGTATAATCTATTACCAATTATCTTACAACTTCATCATCATCACCACCACCACCATAATCATCATCATTATTATCATGGTCGTGATCATGATCATCATCATCAGTTCACTACGCATCCTAATCCTAATAATATGCGCATATTCGTTATAAGAAACTATACATTTCCAATTTCAAATAACGAAGAGGGATTTCACACAATCAGTAATTGGTTAGTCAAATGTGATGCTGTATATATTGACCTAAGACACAGACGGTCGGCCTACAAATCGTACACACGAATTGAAACGAAGCACTACAGATTCTAAACACCTGTAAAACAACATACTGACTGATTATAGATTTACATTTACAGACAGATTTACATAAAAAATGTAAATAAATCTTACTAAAATTATAAATGCGAAAGTTTTAACAGTGGTAGTGCCCGTTTTAACATCTTAGCACGAATGGGCCGGCACGCCCGGTGTAATACCACGACCACACAGAAGACAGACGTGAAATGGAAGCAATTCCGTGTTTCGTCTGATGAGTGTGGTGCCGGAGGCCTAATTTAAGTCCTTTTCTTTTTACCATCCTTTTCTTATAAGGAGAGGTTGGGAAGGGGAAGTGGATCTGACGGTGGAGGAGATGCATAGGAAGGGGAAATATCCTCTTTATGTGCGTCTCCTCCTCCGTCGTATAAGGGTAGGCAACGCATCTGCAATTGCGGTTGTCTATGGGCAGCGGTCGCCTCGCCATTTTGGCGGATTCTAGTGGCCGCTTGCTCATTTGCCACCTTATGTTATAAAAAAAAATGGATGGTGAGATCCACGCTGGCCAAAGCTACAATACAATATAATAATAGTCCTGTCTATGCTTCGATCAAAATTTTAATTTTTAATCATTTAAAGACAATATCAATTCATAACAAACAAAAACCAATCATACTTCATACTAATCATACTAATATTATAAATGCGAAAGTTTTTATGGGTGGATGGATATTTGATAAAATTTGTAGCCTAAACGGTTCTAATTATTTCGATCAAGTTTGGTGTAAATGTAGAGGATAGTCTGGAATAACACATAGGCTACTCACTTTTTTTGTTAATCGTGGAATTAACGGCGATTAACGAGGGCGTCGTGGGCGGCGTGGTCTTTCATATTCATTATATTTGATTTTTCTTATTATTACGTATCTAAAAGACAAAAGAACATCGCTAAAAAGTTTCATTTTATACCATGTTTTTAAGATCAACATGTCTTTTAATCTACAATACAATAGATCTATCGTGATATAAGCTTTGATCTCAAACGAAAAAATACAACAAATATGTGCCTTCCCACCGCGGGGAGCGAGCCTCCACCAAGATGGATGCCAGAGCGGGAAATACCCGTTGAACTATTCCAATTTAGAAAGTTTCCTTTTGGTAAAGTGACTGCTTCAGCTTGTTCCGAAATCGTCCCGAAAAATTGGCCACTGATACTGCCGGATTGTATGGCATCGTATGCGTACAGTCGAAAAGATAATGTCCAAGTTATTTAATGCGACTTAAAAATACTGCTGTAGCTTTGTTTATCGTTGTAATAGACGTAAAAGGTGAATTTAGTTTCGTTCTAAAAGTATCATATTGTTGTATACGCGTTGTACCGTTGCGAAAACTGTTCCTGGCCACTTTTAAATACGATGTCATTTTTTTAAAACAAAAATCTTCCTTTGTTTATAACCACAAAGGGTTCTCTGGCATTCTCTTTTGAATGTTACCGAGAAATTGTTGGAAATGTTAAAGTTGTTATTTCCTTTACATTTAAATTTTCAGTTATGTGGTGCTCATTAGTGAAGAAAGCTGCCGGCTTTAGGTCGCTGAAGCGAAAACGCTTAAAGCGGTCTTCGGGTGAGAAAACCTTCTGTGATTTATTAAAGCAATTTATATTTTTCTTACGCTAACTTTCCATTCCTTTGTATAGATTCGCGGCCCGAATTAGTTTACACCTTTATAGAGCAGGCTGTTCAACCTGGAGCTCAGGTTGCGTTGAAATGTTCAGCTGTTGGTGAACCTCCGCCTAGGTTTAGATGGACTCTAGATGGGCAACTCATACCACCTCATCATGGGTACGTGAAATGTGAAATTTTATATGCTTAATGATAAAGATCATCAGAAATTAAACAATACAAATTCTTAAATTTTAACACTAGCGCTGCGATCACGGAAGGTCATGAGAATGGTCCGACTGGGATAGGATCAAGCAACAATTATATCCTCTCCACATTATCGCTCAGCAGCGCGAGGGTTGAGCACGGCGGTCGGTATGAGTGTAGAGCTACCAACACTCACGGCTCCGTGGCACATGCAGCAAGACTCAATGTTTATGGTAAGATCAGGCTAAATTCAAGTAGTTTACTACCAGAAAGGAAACATATTAGGTCTTCATTATAGAACATCACTATTATCATCAAAAAACACTTTAACCTGTGTTCTTTCAAATAAATATTATATTATTTACCTTCATAAACATAGGATACATTTGTAGTACAAAAAAGGTGTACTAAACTGCCTGAAATGTTAGAGATTTTTTGCTTATAAGAAATCTTTTCCGCTGTTTTTCTATTAAAAAAGGTAAATGACTTCATTCAGGGCCTCCGTATATACGCGCCATGAATCCCGTTAAGGCTGTTGCGGGTTCAGATATAACTATTTGGTGCCCGTATTATGGATTCCCCATAGAGTAAGTACCCTTTTACGATTTTTATTTATTTAAATATCTTTCTTCAGCTTACAAATATTTCTGATTTTATTTATTTGTAGATTACGTTATTATATTTGTAACGTATGCCGTATAAAGGTCAATAACTTTCGTCTTGGCGTATCTATCGAAAGATAACTTTCTAAGAAGTTTCTTTGAAAGAAATATATCTTGGGCATGAGTTCCATAAACTTGAAACCTACTGACCCTCTTAGTTCATTTCCTAGTTTCAGTTAAATTCTAATAAAAATAATAATGAAATCCAATGAGACAACAGTAGCATACTAATTTCAGCTCAGTTAAATGGGAAGGTGGTGCCGGCGCAGACCCTAGATACCATCAGGTGGACGGTCAGCTGACCATCACAAATGTCGACCGGAATCGAGACAAAGGCGGCTGGATTTGTTCAGTATTGACACCCGGTGGGGAGTTAGCCAGGCGGGAGGTTTGATGCATTCAATATTTCTCAATTAAGAAGTCTAAAGATTACATAGAGATAGGTCCATATATGAAAAATTGCATTAGGCTGCTCTCTGAAGTGACTAAGGACTTTTATAGACTAAGATTGTCGCCACAGATAGTGCGGCGGCAATGAGACAGACATAATATCCGTGCGACTGATTGACGTTACCGTATTGCATAGTACTATGTATGCTGTGCAGTATATAAGATTTTCTTCATGTACAATATAGGTACAAGTGTCAGTGGTATCACCGCCGGTGCTGTCTCCTATCGTGTTCCCACCTGGTCTGAGATCGGGCGACCGCTCGCAGCTGACCTGCACCGTCACCTCGGGTGATATGCCCGTTTATTTTTCTTGGCTCAAGGATCAAATGCCAATTTCCAGCGTGTTGCAGGTAAACCAAGAACCAATAATGTCCGTAATCATGATTTTCTCTTGCAAGAAACGAGTATAGGAATTACTTGATCAGTCTGTAAAAAAAATGTCGATCGATTGCTATGGCGTCTTCTAGGTCTGTTATATTTGAGCCAAATGGATTTAACCGCGGATGAAGTTTTGAGACCGAATATTGATTTTGGTATAAAGGTTTCCGTTACTTTAAAATCTATTTAACTATTAATTCCAACAAATTTAAATGGATAAATTGCTATTTATGGTATTATTTTAGGTCGATGAGCGTGGCGCTGAATTTTACAGTATGCTTTTATTCAAAAGTTTGACAGCCGCTCATAGCGGTATGTACACGTGTGTTGTAACCAACACCGCCGGCAAAGCAAACACTTCCGCTGAATTGGCTATTAAAGGTATGTTTATTATCGATTTCACGTTGCCTTGTGTAGTTTGGATGTTTTGATACCAAGATTTAAATGTCACTCACAAACGTGCACTAAACTTTTACTAATGTTTAATTATATTAGATATTGATTTTGTTTAAAGAACGAAGAATTTATAAACGGTGCCGTAATTTATATTTCATATGATTATGTTATTCATGTTTTTTTAATGTACTTGAAGATTCATATGTATTACTATTTTTTAGTACCTCCGTATTGGCAAATGGAACCATCTGATGCCGCAGTCTTACTTAATGGATCTCTTACTATCAGCTGTGAGGCTAGAGGACATCCCTCTCCTATCATATATTGGACTAAATTTTCTGGTATGATAAGTAACATGTATATTTTTATTTAAGGATACTTAAAATTCAATATTACGAGAATCCTATAGTAACATAGGGACTCTGAGAGCGTCAGAATTTTTACAATATTTATTGACATTATCTGGCAATATTTGATGTGTATAACCATAAAAATATATCTTTTATAATTAACAATGATTTCTTAATTCTGTTGTTTCTTTATAAGGTAGTACAGAAACAACGCTGGGTGGAGTATCCGATCCGGTTGTCCTTAATAATGGTTCATTAAGATTAGAATCTGCGAGAGCCGAACATTCTGGAAAATATCGCTGTAGAGCGGATAATGGAGTTGCTCCGCCGTTGTCAAAAACCCTTACTATACATGTAAACGGTAAGAACTTGCATGTAATTGTTAACTAAGTTTGTGTAGACATATAAGTTGATAAAGAATGGGGTCAAAGTTCCCTTAAATAAGTACGCCAAGGGAATTTGTTGCAGTGCTACGAAAAAGCGTAGGCCTCAATAAAGATCTACGACGTATGGATTTAAGGCTACGTCTTCTATAGCGTAGATCTAAACGTAGTATTACGTGAATGGTATGTTTTTAGAACCAGCAAGATTTGAAACTCCGTCGGTGAATGTGACAGCTAAACTCGGAGACACAGTGAGGCTGGCGTGCGTGGCGCGCGGAGACAACCCACTCTCTATGACTTGGAGTACTTCAGGACGAGCATTACCTAACTCTGATTACCGGTAGGAATAGTAAAGAGGTTTCTATTGTTAGCTTACCTATGGTCTTGTGCTGTTTATCTTATTCAAATTACATTTGGTGTGAAGAAGGATTTTTTAATTGGAAGTTTATAAGAATTAAATTTTAAATATTAATGTTTTCTCCTATTTTAGGATGAGTATCTCAGAGACTCGCAGTGCTGAAGGCTTGAGAAGTGAGTTGGTATTAGAGAGAGCTGATAGACGAGATTCTGGTGTTTACCGATGTCAAGCATCAAATCCGTATGGCCGGTCCGACCATTTCGTACATCTTGGTGTTCAAGGTATGAACTAACCATAATAAAATGAAACTTTAAATATTAGATTTTCAATTATTGAAAAAACAATGACTTTCTAGTCGTTTGACCGTAGATTTGTTTTGTAGAGCCTCCAGAACCTCCAGCAAATTTCCGTGTATTAGAAACAACGTCCCGTTCCGTTCGGCTACAATGGCGAAGACCGTACGACGGCAACTCGCCCGTACTGGGCTATGTCGTACAATACAGGAAGCACGATTCCACCAGCCCGGACTCTTGGAGAGACGCCGATACACACAACGTGTCTGTTTCCGCTCATTCTGTTGATACTTATACCGAGTAAGTCAATTCAAATATACTCGTTTGTGTATAAAAAAAAACTGAATTTAATCTTAAAATTGGTTAGTTTACAGTTAATTTATTTACTTTTCTTTTAATATTAATCACAATAACTTAAGTTAAGAAGAGAAAATGACCCTATGTTCAGTTTCATTTCATCCATTTTAATTTGTAGGGTAGAGGGCGCTACTATATCAGGACTGGAACCTGCCACAGCGTACCTAGTGCGAGCGAGGACTGTAACAGCGCAGTTCGCTTCGAGCCACACGAGGGCGCTGCTCGCGTTAACACTACACGAGCCGCCTGCGCGTGCGCCCATCAGTCTCCGTGCTTCTGCGCCTAGACCTGCCACTGTCGAACTGGCATGGCAGGTAGTCTATCACTTTTATAAAGTTATCCTAATAAGATTTTACCAAAATTTACCTACAAATCTTTATATAGGCTCCTCCAACATCAGCGTGGAACGGAGAACTCCTAGGCTACACGGTGTGGTGGTGGCCGTCAGCTGATGGCTCCATGTCCAGCGGCGCTAATGTTGGAATGGAGTTCGCGACTGTCCGTGGTCAAATCAATAAATACACTATTGAAGGTTTAGAACACTACACGAGGTTAGTAACATTTTTTTTTTGGTTTAAAAAATTATATGCTTTTAAAGGTAATCTGTTCAAGCTATCTAAATATAAGGGACCGGTGATATATTTGTCTGCCATACATAAAAACAAGACGAAAAAAAAACCTTAATACTTGAATGTTAAAGTTTAATTTAAAACTTTATTTTCATTTGCAAATAAATTAATTCATTAAATTAGACACTCGGGTAAAACAAAATGACGATCAAAAAGGCGTGTTATTAATGAGAATCGAGATAAATTGCCTTAATTGCCGTTTTGTTTTCGAATCTCTGTCCCTTGTTTAATGAAATGATTTTTACCGAATTACAGAAAATTGTAACAATTTTTATATACATTTTTAAACAGATACTCCATAAGCGTCAGAGCATTTAACAGTGCGGGCGCGGGGCCGGCCACTGCTCCTGTTAACACTCTCACACAAGAGAGTGGTAAGTATAAAGTCAACAGCTTAGTCCTAACATAGTTTACCCAAGTATAAAAAGCACTTGTCACAATAACATTTTAGATAAACAAAAGAACAAGTTTTTAAAGACATCAAACTAGATTTCGCCCGCGACTTCATCCGTGTGGAACTAAAAAAATAGCCTATGTGTTCTTCTGGACTATCCTCTACATCAATTACAAATTACTTTGATCCGTTCAACAGTTTAGGCCACAAACATCCATCCATCCATCCATTTAAAATTTTACATGTATAATATTTGTAAGAATTACAATGTTTATTTAGTGCCTACGGAGGGTCCACGTGCAGTGCGATGTCGCGCAGTATCGCCTCAAAGTCTGAAAGTGGAATGGTCCCCGCCGCCGGCGCACGCGCATCACGGCGCACTGCTGGGATACAAGTTACTGTATCGCCCTGAACATAGTGAGTGTTTCATTATCAAAATAAAATCAACCAGTGACTTAATTTCTTTTTGCATTGTATGTTTGTAAAGTCCCCCTTATTTCCAAAAAAATGTTTTTACCTGCATAGTAACCAAATTAAATTCGTTCGTTTTCGTGAAAAAGGAAATTCTAGTATCATCCCGATTACGTAAATCAGTAGATGAGGAAAGAGTAATTAAATTATCAAGTTTTCTATAATCATGAACCAGTTATTCAGAAATGTAAGCTAGTTGACTAATAAACAAAATTGGTTTTAAAGCAAGCTTCTCAATTTGTTCGTAGTAAGTTAGTACATTCTAAGCTGAGTGATGGCAGTTGTTTGTCGGCAGCGGCAGATTGGCTGGAATGGGAGGTGCGCGGCGGCGGTGGTCCAAGTGCAGTGGCGGGGGCGGAAGTGAAGAGAGTAGCGGGCGTTGAAACGTTACTACTTGCACTGCGACCGCATATGAATTACACGATACAGGCGTTAGCGTATACTGCAGCGGGTGACGGTGTCCCCGCTCATCCTATACATTGTACTACTCACCAAGATGGTTAGTCTTGTTTACAACGGGAACTTCTTTAAAGCCTTACTGATTATCGCATTAAATTAACAGTTTACATGCATTTTCCATTTAAAGAGGATATTAATGGAAAAAATGGTGTAATTGTAAATTAAAACTACGCAGTCGTAGCAATGTATCGTTTTAAATCTTGTCATGACTTTTTTAGTGCCTGGTCCTCCAGCGGCAGTTAAAGTAGTAGCGACATCTGTGTCATCTTTAGCTGTTAGTTGGTTGCCTCCAAGTCGACCGAATGGACCAATACTATATTATACAGTATTTTATCGAGAACTGGGAAGGTAATTTCAACATCGTTTACTATTAATTCTTTCAAAGTTTATTTTTACGCGGCTAAAACAATTTGGAAATAAACCTGTAGAGAAAGGCCACCGCAAACTACAACAGTTCAGCCAGAAGGGGAAGAATCATCAGTTGGATTAGGTGGATCAACTGAATTAAGATCACTGTCGGAAGGGGCTACTTACGAAGCTTGGGTTGCGGCACATTCAGTGGCAGGCGAAGGTGAGCTATCTGCCCCTCAACCAGCAATGACAACATCTAGAGGTAAGTCTAGTTAAATGCATTTAAAAACTATAACAATGTTCGGTATGTTCTAGTGCTATTACAGTAGCTGATTTTTGTATGAGGAAAATGTATTGCTTACGAATTACAATCATGTGGGTATATAATAATATCAAGAGATATAAATGCCTATCAAGAGTATAAGATCGTCGGTTATATTCTATGTTTGGAACTAAAGTCCATTAAATTATTAAGAAACTTTAGCAATTTAAAAACTTCCTTCAAGTAATTACATAAAAGTTTTTGCAATAAAAAGTAAAGGTTGATAAGAAATTGAATTTCGAATTTTTCAAGTGGTAAAAAGTATCGAGAGTACTGAATATAAATTTAAAGTTGATTAAGATATTGCGTAGTTACAATTCGGATTATTTTAATGAAAATATCTACGGTCACTCAAGACTTACAAAGAAAAAAATTACAATAAAAATTGGGAATGCAACAAAACGTAGTGCATTTTACTAAATTTGATTATTATAATGGTTGTTTTAGCAACAGTCAGACTACTGTCTTTCGGTGTATGGGCGAGAGTGAAATGCGGCAGTTCATTAAAACTGGCCTGCGCATGGCGCGGGGAGCCCGCACCGCGCGCTCGCTGGCTGCGTGGTGACAGACCTGTTACACACGACCCTAGAACACATCTCACACCACACGGACATCTATCAATACACGGTATATATTTTTAACAGGTTACTTTTGTACATAAAACTGCTAAGATAAACTGTTAAGATGAGAAATAGATTATGAAACCGTAATGGAAATAACATTTGTACAGAAGTTGATGCATCAACTTGTGGCAACTATACGTGCGCGGCTCGTAACGCGTTCGGTTCGGAGGAAGTGACGTACCGCGTGGACTGTGCGTCGCCGCCGTCCGCGCCCGCACTTGCCTTGGACCACGCCGCGCATAACGAGGCCAAACTTACTTGGCGCACTACACATCATCCTGCTGCGCCACCACATGGTATCTTTTAAGAGATTGTTATTGATTGTTTCTTCCAGACGTTTTTTAATACAATTCTAGAGGGCAGAATCGATAGTTTATTTTATTACTTAAAGACTTTTGAGGACAAATAAGTTTATTTTTTATCAAGGTTTCACAATATGGTGGATGCGTGTCCGGGATGAGTCGGCCGATAGTATGGATACTGTGAGTTTGCGAAGCGGGGGAGACGAGGAGCGGCGGCTGGAGGCGGGCGGGGAGGCTGCGGGCGCGGTGCTGCGAGCACTCTCTTGCGGGGCCACATATTCTGTCCGGGCGGTGGCGCACTCCAGGGCCGGACCCTCGCCTTCCTCCGCGCCACTACTGGTCCGAACGAAACCTCCAGGTAAAAGGTCATTCGAACACTCAAAAAAACAAATGACGTAACTGTATAAAAGAATTCTCGGCTTTTTAATTCTGAACAGCTCTTATATATTTGATCACTTGTCGGTTTAATGTATGGATAATATTGTAGTGTTAGTCTGGGAAGGCGGAGGAGAAGTGAAAGAGGAGAATGAGCAAGGCGCGGAGGCAGCTGTATGGAGCAACAGCAGCTCTCTAGCGCTGGACGCGAGACGGGCGGTTCGCTGCGGTGCGCGCCTTGTGCGTTTGCAGTGGCGACGCGCGGACTCTTCCAACACCGCCATCTGGAGAGACGCTGACTTAACATCTTTACATCATCATCGTGAGGTAACACAGTACATATTTCAAGTCTTGACTTATACGACACAGAGAAGGTGGAAAACAAAAGTTACCTGATGTTAAAGAGTATACTCGTAGTTAACGTAATCTACGCTATGGGTTCCTTCCAACAGTCATCATAAAATGAACAAGACAAGTTTAATAAGTAGAAGCGAGTAGCAGGACTTTACCTGATAGTACATGAGTACTCCACTGTTTTACTTGTTCTTTGTAAGTAGGTAATACTAGAGTGTTTGATGTATGTTTAGGTGGTGGTGAATGAACTAGCCACAGCGACGTGGTACGCTCTACGCTTGTGGACGGCCACAGAGTCTGCTCGCCACCAAGCTATAATATACGCAGCGACTACAACGCACTCTGGCGGTATATGCTCATATTTATTTATATTTCTTCTTTAAATCAACTTTCATTTTGACATAAACATATTACTTGCTACTATATTAAAAATCTTTTTCTGGGATTCTATATTTTCGGTATAGAATGATAATTCTTTAAGGAACGAAGAATTCAATTCAATTTTAAAATGCAGCTAATTCTCTCATTATTCTGATCATTGAGATATTATATTCCTAATATAATAATGAAGCTTTTATATCATCTAATAGGTACTAATGGGCTCATCTTAAGTTAATTGACATCTTATGCAATAAAGACGACAGCTTTTAACCAATTACTTAACATCCTGCTATCTGTAACACTGTTAAAAGTTTTTCGATAATGTCCCTAATTAGTGATATTATGTACAGTACCGTATTCTGTGTGATTATTTTTATTACCTGTTCGATAAAGATTGCTACACAGTTGGGTAGCCAGGTTGAATAACCTAGGAGCAATGCTACCGCTCTGAATCACGATTGAGTATCGAGTTTCTAATTCGTTTTTTAATTGAGTAATGTATCTTGATACTTTGTTTAGAGAGACTACGTCGGCCAGTGGCGTTTCAATCGGAAGGTGGGTCTGTACCAGCGGCGGGCGGCGTGGCGGACACGGAGCGCGTGCTGGGCGCTGTGTCGCTGGCGTTTGCAGCGCTCGCAGCGCTGGCGGTCGTCGCTTTGCTGCTAGTGTTGTTAGCTAAGCGAAGGTATAAAAGAACAAGGAAAACTTCATAATAGAGCTGTAGGCCTTTTATCTTTACATGTTACACTTTATTAAAAAAATAACAATGATTATTTTGTACAATAAGGTGATCAAATTTCAAAAACTTTTAGAACACTTAAGAAAATTAACGTAATGGATTGTTAAGCGCTTGACAGATTAGGACAGATACTTAAAGAGCAATAGCTTTTAAACGCCGTGTTTTAGTTTTTTTTTTTTTAGATAAAGTGATTTTTACAAACTAACATAAATCAAATGCCGCAGTAGGCAGTGTTAACGGATTTCTAATTATTTACGTCAGATGCTATGGTAGTAAGCAGTTGTTGTTATTCAGTACTCTATGGCCGTGCGGCGGTCCTGTGGACGAGGAGGCGAGACGCTGCAGCCATTCTGTGGCGAGCACCGACAAGTCTGTCTGTCCAGAGCAGCAGAACATCCGAAACTGTCAGCACGACTACAAACATGACAAGCTGTCACCGGCATCAGGTATCATGATACTATTTGTACTAGATACGTTAGATAGATATTTATTTTGCGCATCGTTTATTTATAGTTTGGTTATTGTTTAGTTGGCTGTTTTGATCAGTTCTTAATCCAATTAGACAACTTCGTTGATCACACAAGCCTCTGTCTACTGAACATCAACGGATGTTGCACAAGCAAACTTTGTTTTCGAATGAACTATTTAACTAAATTGATGAACTAAACGAAATTTATTTATACAGCTTTCTATAATACACGGTTAACTTACTAATATATTGTATATCTATATTCATACTAATAAGAACTATAATAATAGGATAAGTAAAGAGGAAAGATTTTGATTTTTGGATTTTTGTATGTATAGAAATAATTAAAAAAACTACTGAGCCGATTTCAAAATTTCCTTCACCAATTAAAAGGTAATTTATCTTTATGTAGCTTAGGGTATATTTTATTATATTTTAACGCGAACGAAGTCACGAGCCAGAGCTAGTTACTAATATATCTTATCAGATGTCTATGAGATAAGTCCATACGCGACTTTCGCGGTGGGAGGAGAGGCGACGGCGGCGACGTTGGACCACACGCTGCAGTTCCGTACGTTCGGACACCGCGACAACGACGCGCCGCCGCACCGCCCGTGCAGGAAGCATCCGCAGAGACACAGGGATAGGGAAGGTAAGTATTCGCTGTTTTCATGCAATGCTACTGCGATGTTTATGAAAGCTCGCAGTATAAGTGACCATTGTGTTAAGTATGACAAAAGCTGTGTTTAGATACAGTGGCCAATTAAGTTATCTGGTTTTTATTGACAACATGATTCTAGCAGTTCTCATGTTGTATGCATCCTTCCTCTATAATAAAACTGAACTAAAATAAAATCATTATAAATTAGTATAGTAGAAGTAAATCTTCTTCTTCGTAATAATAGTGTAAAAAACTGTGTCAGTTAATAACACAAAGTGAGTAAAATATTACAAACAGATGACTGCGGATTTCTCATGAAATTTGCATATTTTCATTTAGTTGATGCAATAATCTTGAATAGGAAAATGTGAAAGTTTCAGCGTTGAAAGAACACATTGCAGGTATTTAATTATAAAAGTTAGGAGACGGAACTAAAAGTCGTATCGTATATTATTTTTTACATCTACAACAAAGAGTAAATCCATTATATCAGACAGATTAATTTACCCTTAATGATTACTTAACGACTCTGAGTGGGGTAGTTAAGTATGTGTAGTGACGTGAATTATTTTCGCAGTAGAGAAGCATCATTCAGAGTGCGAGTTGCAGCAGCTAAGCCGCTATGAGAAGGTGCGTCCGCGTCACTGCGCCACCTCCTACTGCGTGCCGCTGCCACACCACGGTACGTTATTACTAGTATGGTATTATATTATCTGTGCTAATACCTACAAAATATTAAAGTATAATGCGCGGTTTACATTTGGCCAATACCGTTGGACAGCGGCGCCGATACATAGATTGTATGGATTTGTAAAATTTAACGTCCACTCTGTACAAGTTGATTTTGAGTCCAGTTATTGAGTGCTAGTAATCAACTGTACTGGCTAAGTGTAAGCCGCGCTGATTGCTTTTGTTGAAATGACACAATTTGACATCTTTTATTTAACTTAGGAATAAACTGAGTATAAGCAAATATTAATACAAACTTTGATACTCAGTTTATTCTTAAGTTTTACTTTCATGTTGATTTTGAAAGTTTTTATTCTATCAAATTTTAATAAGGAAACCTTTTGAATAATAGAACATACTGTATAATTTAGTAAACGATTGTAATCTATTCCTTTAGAAATGTCATTTAACGTTATAGATCCTCATTTTAATAATAAATTTTAGCAGCAATTTCATTTATATTCAAATAAATGTCCGTTACCTGGCAGTAATGAGTATAATTTAAAGACTTACTGGAATGGAATTAAACATTTAAGAATGACTCACTTAAAATTAATGGTCATCTTAAATGAAATGCGGCGTTCCTGCGAATTTGTATATCACAAGTTGCCGTAATTTTTGTTTCGCTATGAAATATATTTACCTTATACTCTAAAAGATCTATATCTATACTATAATAATATTAAAAAATAGGAAATATTTGTGTTTTTGTATAACTCAAACACTACTGGGCTTATTTAAAAAAATCTTTCATCATTTAAAAACTTCGTTATCGCTTCTATTAACATAGCTATATTTTTTTGTTGTTTTTTAATTTTACACCGAAGAACTCGCGAGTTACAGCTAGTTTTAAATATGGTCATAATAAATAAATAAATAAGTAAATAAAATAACATTTAATCTTATCACCACTACAACACAATTTGGAATAAGAGAAAAAAAAACACACACACACACAACAAAGTAATTAAAAAATAATAATAATAATAATAATAAACACGTAATTAACAGGACAAACAAAATAATTGAAATGTGTATGCAGTGCTGACCGGATTGGGTCCTCGCTCAGCAATAAATGCTGGATGCTTCTGATCGAAGCACCCAGCGCTGATCTTCCTAACGTTCCAATAATGAATGTTAATGTAGCAAACACAAGCGGCAGTGCGGGCGGCGGGGGCAGCGGCGGGGGCTTCTCCGAGGTGTACGCTGGGGACTCCAGCGTGGAATCCGGCCCTGGCTCGCTGTCGCCGCGAACACATCACGAGCACAGCTAACGCCATAAGGACCGATCGAATAAGGACACCATATCTAGGTAGCCTAGGCACTAGATTTAAGACTCGATAAAATTATCTTTGAAATAAAAAAAAAATAACGATAGATTCTACATCGATTCTACATTCGAATTTTAAATTCAGACGTTTAAAAATCAAATTCAGACGAATAATTATAACGGATGATGGCTATGATTTGAAAAGGTTTGAATTTTAGAAAAAAAGGCGTCAGACTTTATCTACTAGATACTACCCTGCTTTTACCAATAATATTAATATAGACGACATCTAATTTACAAACGTAGATTTTTTGGATAATAAATATTATGTCAGATATTACATTTAAACATCTTTGAAACAGAAAGGTTTTTGAAGGTTCCCCTCTAAGAATAAAATTGTATGTTTCAAAATCGTAATATTTATATGAACTTTTTATATTGCTCAAAAGTCCTTCTGATCTTAGAATTTTTTAGCTCAATAACTTAAGTAAACTTACGCTGCCAGTAGCTATATTTTATATTTGCTCAAGAATTTTTGGTAAATGTTTAGTTTGCTAAATTAACTTTTACATACAAATTTTCTGATATATTTTTAAATATCTATACTAAAAATAAACTTTTAATTAATAACATCTACACAACTGTATTAATGTGCCAAAATATAATTTGATTTCAAACTGTAATAATAAAAACTACTTACACATAATATTTATAGTCTAACCAAGAATGTAAAAACCATGGCCAAGAGTCGCTTAATTCGGATTCTTTTTTACGTCACTTTTCAATGTACACAAAGAAATTAATTAATTTTTCCGAAATATGACAAAGGTGTCATATTTTTGGCCAAGCTAAGCTATTAATTATGTTCTAGAATCGCATTTAATTATTACTATCTGCTTATAATACAATAAACCTAAGATTTGACTATGTTTAACTGCCATTTTGCAATAGGTAATAGATTTATCTTAAGTGTACAACCGTTTTGTACGTTGTCTATTCATAAAATATTAGATCATGTACAATCGGGGAATCTGGCGGTGTTCCACTTTTAAAAGCTAGTCCTTTCAACACATTAAAACGACGACACACACAATAACCAATAGGATGTAGGTTTTAATGTGAAAAAAGCCGGTTAGTGGTAAAAGACTAATTGCATTTCTACTTCTTAGCTACCTTATTGTTTATTTATAAGAGGCGAAGTTTGCCTCGTAAGGAATAAGGCTGTAAAACACCGCAGATTTCCACGACTGTACCTTTTTAACTTTGTCGTATTCATGTCAATAGTATAGTTGTGAAATTAGCAAGTTAATTAGTATATTTGAATTCAATAGAATTGAGAAAATATAACGACTTATCTAAATTTGACCTTTATTTAAAAGATTAGTTACAAAGAAAGGTCATCAATTTAAATACTGATAATTCTCCATAATAACAAATAATAGAAGACATTGCCAGCCAATCTTACTAATATTATAAATGCGAAAGTTTAGATGGATGGATGGATGGATGGATGGATGGATGGATGGATGGATGGATGGATGTTAGCGTTTGTAGCCTAAACGGCTTGACGGATCTCCATGAAATTTGGCACAGGTTCAGAGCATAGTCTGGAAGAACACATAGGCTACTTTTTATCCCGGGAATAGTTACGGTTCCCGTGGGATTCATTAATTTAGTTTTTAATGTTCTCTCGATCATTCTGCAACGGTTTAACATATCTTATTGAAATTTGGCACAGATATAAAACAAAGTCTGGAGTACACATGAGATAAGCTTCATCCCAGAGAAATGTCCAGTTCACGAGGGATACGTAGCTTTTTGTAATTTATATAGTTCGTATGTTTTCTAATACCACGCGGACGAAGTCGCGGGCAACAGCTCGTATATTATAATTTATCATTTCTATTGAATTCCATTAGTAGTTTAAAATAACCCTCATGTTCGAGTCGTTAGTTGATAAAACTGTACATAAACCTCTAGTCAGACTGACATTATCTACTTATATGTATATTATATAAGAGCTTATATGTAAATAAGTCTGTAGATACCAACAATGGTCTAGTCAATTTTTATTAAATGTTTCACAATATAATTGTAACATGTAAATAATAATTGTTCTATGTGAGAATTTGTTTTATTGTAATATATTATTTATCGGATATTGTTGTTTTATTCAAAACATAACCCGTAATAATAACAATGTTAAAGAACCCTTGTTTAGCATCAGGGGAATACTTGTAGAAATATTGTCGCATTGCCAACATACAAATAAAAATTGTATTATTGTACAGTTTCCATTGTTATAATTATACACATCAAATTACCTTTTAGAACAAAAAAAGCTTGTCTATTATTGAATAATTTTTTCCAAATATCCGTCCAATCGAAATCAAAAAATAGTTAGGAAGCTAACTTAAAACATTTATGACTATGTTCTATATCTCTGATAAATTTCATCGAGATCCAATTTCGGAGATACGTAATAGAAACATTCAGCGATCCATCCAAACTTCCGCAATTATTAAATTTATTATTAATTAACTTGACGCGATGATTTTAATCTAATTAATAATACATATCACCTATTGAGAAATCACTTTCTATCTACACTTTTATCACTTAAATGAACGAATTATTCTGTGAGAAGAATCGTTACGTGAAAATTTAATGCAAGCTTTATTAAGGAATAATTAAATTTCGATTGCCTCTAGACGTGAATTTGTCCCGCTGTCAACTTAAAAACATACTGTCCCTCTTTTTTTATTTGTGCGGATAAAAATAATATCATTACAGTTTTATACTCCATATATCTTTATTTCTTATACTCTAGACAATACTTTTTACATGATTTGATATAAAAAAAAAGAAAATGAATTATATAAAAATAGAGCACCACCGGCTGCGGAATCCGAGTACAGTTTACAGTTACAGTACAGTTATTGTTAGAGAAAACAATTTTCATTTCGTTCATTAAAATCGTTGCTTTAGTTAATCTATTCTGTTCTTTGCTAAGTTGTTCCAAAATAAATGTAATGTAGTCTTGAATTAAAAAATTAAAACGTTATAGAAAGCGTAGTTTAATTAATAAATAACTCAATAAAATATATAATATATCAAAGAGTATCGTGTTACATAATTAGAAACTGCCTCTATATAGCCTCGGATATTTCAATCGGTTCGCAAACACTCGTAATATTAGGTCAGCCACTTTACGCTCATTCAATAAATCAATTCAAATTTATTTACAATTCAGTATTTATATTTATAAAACTAAATTAAAAGCGAGACAAAAATGTTAACTTAATTATATTAACATTTTTGGATTATATTTATCACATATACCGGTATGAAATAAAGAGTTTTTTGCTTCCCGGAAATCATCACTTTCTGGTACAAAATTCAACATTTTTAACACGATGAAAAAAAAACAAACGAAAAAAAATATAAAGGCTCGTTTAAAATAAATGTTTCCTATCGAGACATTTGTATCTTGACGCTTACTTCATATCGGTATACCTGGTAGATATATGTGACTAATATAGGTATTAAGTTATTGCTATTACTAACTATAAGCAAAGAAAGTGTAGCTCGAAATAAAGTTTACATAAAAAAAAAACAAAAGTCCTCCATTATCGAAAAATGTTGCCCTTGACGCTTATTGAGTTATTTATTAATATTTATTCAAAGAAGTCACAAATATACGTTACAATTAAAACGTTCTTCATTTATAGGTTAACAAATTTTCCGAATAGTTGTTTATTGTTACTAGACTGATTCAACCAGCAAAAACCAGCATAAGATAAAACTAATCAAAGGGCAATCTGGAACCTTTCTTTCACTCAGCGCCCGAGATATGTAACAAGATTACTTGACGTTTTTAGGTCAAAGATCGACTTAATAACCTTTACCGGAATATATTCATCTAAAGTTATTTATTTTCTCTTACGTAAATCTATTCCATTTACGTTTCAAATCTAGTTAACAAAACAAATCCTTGTTAACAGACATTTAAAAAATACATAGACGAGGCATAGTAAATAAATGTTTTTCACCGGTACTTTCTCTGATAGGTACTATATAAGTTGTCCAGTTTAGTGCCACCTCGTGTCCTTGTATTGACATGTAATAAAACATTTTACAAAATTATAATAAATCCCATCTTTTGTTATGTTATAAAATAAACAAAACGGTGTTGCAAAATAAACGAAAAAGATTTAAATATCATTAAAGGACAGTTGGCAATTAATTGAAATACAATTAATTATGTTGCCATGTGGTTTTTAGGCTGTTAACAGATAGCAATTGTCATAATGATGTGAAAAATGCCTGAGGTTTCATCTGCCTCCTCTATATATATTTTGAAACTCTTTAGCTGTGATGTGTGTTTTTCTAACCATAGACCGTTTAACTTGTCAGTCCTTTTCTAAAAACCATTAATCATATTTTTTGATGTTCCTAGAAAAGCTATATAGGACGCGCTTTGAATCACAGATTTGGGGCAGCGTAAAAGTTTTGAGAGCTTTCTATTCGTACCTTCAGTTACAAGAAACAACAATAATTCAAATATATTATTGTAACTAGAACCTTACCTTTTTAATGGTGAAAGATTTTTTGAAATCGGCCCTGTAGTTTTTTAATTTACAATACATTCAAAAACACGAATCATTTCCCTTTATAATATCACTATACAAGTACAAATATAGAAGACGCAAAATTAGTGTCTAAGATTGATTCCCAAAGATAACATCTCAAAACAATCTGTCTTAAAGATTACTACGTGATTAAAAACGAATATTTTATGAATATCGTAATAGAAAATACAATTTGTAATTCATCTACAAATCAGACAAACTATTGAAATAGTCGATACGATATTTGATACAGAAGCCGAGTGGAAATCCGTTCAAACAAGGCAAAGCATCCAGGTCACCTTTTAGGTCAACTATTGGATGTAGCGGAGCGCTATCGGTATTCCCATTGATGTCAATGACGGATTCCGCTATTTGAATTTGTACTCTGGCTACAAACTGTTTAATTCAGAAAGTTAATTTTACACAATATTAAAAATTATAAGAAAGCGATGGATGGATTGCGTAAAAGGTCACATAATGAAGAAGGGAGTGATGAGATAATGTATCATAGTTATTTGGAGGACGATAACCTGGTGGTAATACAAGGTAGAGGAGATGATGAATATAAAAAAATTATAACTGTTGATCTATGAAATAAACTAGGCTAGGTTTTTTCTTAATTTATTCAGCTTTAGACCACTAAATATTTTTTTATACCTAAGTACAATCTAAAAAATACTGTAATACGAGACATGAGAAGAAAACATTTTGTAAAGGTTGAAAATATAAAGAGCAATTCAGAGGT